TTTGTGCCTATATAAACATTGTTAGGGACATGGTGCTGCACTGATTCAAGTGGGCATTGAGCAAGAAATGTTTCAGCTCGGCCTTAATTGAAACTTGAGACATTTTTCACAAGTTCTGAACTTTATTTTTGTAACCGGTTACAATTGAAACGTCTTTTCAAATTTATAATAAGCTTTGCTAATCCACCTACACACCATTTATGAGTGATCTATTTAAACAACTTTGAGATATTACCCACTTTTGCGGCCCTGTGTACTTTACATATGTGATATGCAGTTAATGAAGTTTCAAAAAGTTAATTTATTTTATAATTAAATAAAAATATATACCCACACAGATAGCTTTGTTACCGTCTAGAAACAATTGCTCGATCTACTCCTACAAATCTACAATTTTATCAGTTTATATAATAACTATAAAAGTAATATGTTGGTAACGTTAGTATAAATAAATCACATTTAACTTTTTATCTAAAAGGCTATAGCTATCTATATAACGTAGCTTTAGACTTCCTATATTGCGATAATTATTGATGAATAATAATTTGAATAACAATTTATGAATATCGATGAAAATTACTTACAGTAATTATAAGTATTCTGTTAGTTACTTTTGCTTGTTGTGAAAACTAGAAAGACAATCACAATCAAATGAATACACTAAAAATAATATTCTAAAAAGTACGCCTCCTGCCATATACAACACTTAATAACACCGAAAAAGTAATCGGGTACTATAGTACCAAGAAAATAACACACGCCACTAGGGAACCACGGTACCTCTGCGAGATAGTGTAAACAAATTCCGTATATCATGAACTAGCGCGTTTTGTTAATAAAAATAGCTTTATAGAGACGTTCTTTAAGAAATTATTCAACGAAATAAATTTAACTGACCACAACTTTCAAGCAGAACGCCATAATAAAATTTAGAAAGTTTACAACTGTAAGTGCGTTATGTGTGAAGTGATTGTTGACTTAATAAAATGTCGTAAGTAGATATTTTGATACTATTATACATATAAATGATCGTGAAGAATAATGCTACAATATTTTTTATAGTTAAGTAGTTTCAGCATTTCAATTTGACATATTTTGCATTATTGAAAAATTTATTGTTTGCGATGGGAACAATGGCTGCCGGTTGATATGTCAAATACAAATAAATGTGTGTCCATTTTGACCCAAAACTTTGTGAAAATTTAAGAATAGGTCATAATTAGTATATCAATATACTTTTTTTTATATAAATTGAAGTGTTTTCAATAAGAATCTATTACTTGAACGATTGTGTTCAATACTGGGCGCCTACTGTTGTCAATGGACTTTGAAAACAGCGGCGGATACCATGACAACATTCGCGGGTTGTGGTATCCGCCATGGTTACCCATAGTTACTAATATAATAAAGATTTGTACGGATTACAAAACGATCTATATATTCATTAAATTAAATTGTGGTGGGTAAACATTCATTTTAGTGAAAGAAACGTCGAAGAAAATTGCGGGCGTTGTCGTGCAAGAGGACGAGAAAGAGGACTTGGTGGTGCCGAGACCTCTGAGTAGGTTTATCTTTTTTTCTCATTATTCTTATTTATTTATTTTTTATGTTAGAAGGTAGCAAATGAACTGGCGGTCCACCTGATGTTGAGTGAACACCACCGCAGATGCGTTGCCACCACGCGTTTAAAATAAAGTGGGCCCCGGCTCACTCACTAGACGAAACGCAAAAGTATTATACTTCCACAGCCACTTCAAGGCGGTCTGCTGTGAGGTCGCTTACGTTACTTCCCGAATAGACCTGACCATTCATACAACTGTGAAGACTGTTGCGTTGGCGTACGAAGGTAAAAACTTATGGACGTAACATAATTATGATTATTTCAGTAATAGGTTAAGTCAAATCCGTGTTGAAAGGCAAATCGCAAAGCGTAGGTTATCGATTTCTAATTTTCTTTAAATTATAATTTTTATTGTTCTTAATTTTAAGTTCCAAATATCTAATAACAACTTATAACTAGTGAAATTTTGTAAGTAACCATTAAAAATTACTCTGAAAAACATGTTGTTTAATTTTCCAACTTCGTTTACACGAGACCTTAAATGGCTGTCATTTTCACTAACTACGCACGAAAGGTCGCATCTTATCTAGCGGGGAGTAGCTCATTTCTTCTAAGTTTTTCTTCATGATTGTAAATAAGTTTTAAAATGATTCTTGTGTTATTGTTATTGTAAGATAGGATATTTAATCTAATTTATTTTAACATTCTGAGAAGGGATGTAAAGTTATAGGGTTTTCGTCAAATAAATATTTTATTAAGAGATATTAGTTTTCAACTTTTTCAAGTTTTCAAGTTTTCAACTTGAAAAACTGTTATCAAGTTTAATATATTTTTAGAGTATTATTATATAGTATATTAAAATAGAATAGTTATTCAGCTTATTAACTGTGATTCGTTTTTTGGGATAGTATTTGTTGTTTGCGAACGGCAAGCGCCGTTCTCACCCTCCTCAACTCCTTGGGGAAGCTCTACGAACAGTTCATTTTAAATAGGCCCTCACGTCCTTTCTCATTACTCATCCTGAAAGGATATATGTAACAATATATATATGCCTATATCAAACACATAAGCACGGGGGCTCTCTTCTTCGATGTCGCAAAGGCATTCGACAAGGTCTGGCACAACGGTTTGTGCCCAATAGGCTTGTGCATTCGATTATCAGTAGACTCTCCCTTTCACGGTATTCGTTCCTCAAGGCTGCTGCCTCTCGCCTTTGCTTTTTATGTTCTACATGAAAGATAAATGAATCTCGCGCTTTTCGCCAATGGTGCTCTTTTATTCAGATAAAAATCTCTATAAACTTACTACTCGCCTGCAAAGCGCCTCCGTCCGCCTCGGTGACTGATTCGGCAAATTGAGAATAGAAGAAAATCCCGACAAGAGTTTGGCGATTCACTTCACACGAAGTACTCCCCCGCCATACCTTTATAAAAGCCCTCGCCCAAATAGAAAGCTGGAGCAAATATCCCTCTATGGCCAACCACCACACTACCTGGGAGAAAAAGATCAAGTATCTAGGAGTCACTTTCGAATCACGCATGACTTTCGCAACACATATTTGTAAAATTAGGACCAGAACCACGTTCGATTCCGGCCAGCTACATACATTTGTGCTTTAAGACCATCTTACGTAAGTAAGACGCCCTTAAAGCACAAACTATTATCATATAAGGTCATTGTATTGGGAAGGTGTCTTCCAGGCCGGTATCACCGCCCTCAGACACCGATTAAGCAAGTCAACAGCCATGATAGTCGCAGTCCCTACCGTACATCGATGGCTCACGGCCCTACTCACAGTGTTGGGCCGCTTTTTCAAATATATATATAGATTGACACACACAATGATATAAATCGCAAATGATGAAAAAGGCAATTTTTAACAATGAAGCCTCCAGGTATAGATAAAACATTAATATAGTGTTACGTAATTGTAAGAAAACGTTGCAGTAAGAAATAAAAAGCAAACTGTAGTTTTGAGTTTGTCACATTCGTCCAAGCATTAAAATCGTTATAAAAGTGAAAGATGATTGTAATTTCAGTACCTATAGGATAGCGAACGATGAACACTCACCTCAAAGACCTTTTCTAAAATCCTCAGTCAGTACCCCCGAATGTGTACATGTCCTCAGAACACCAATTTACATTCAGTACATACATACATATATGTCTCACACCGGCCCGACTAATTACAGTAAAACTGGGAGGTAGTTTGCGATAAGAGGTGCGCATTAGGGCCACAGCTCCCAAACCGCATAATTTAAATGTCGCTATGGTTAGCAATGCCTGTTAAATATCCTTACGAAAGATTGTATATATGGATGGATGTTTGTTACTCTTTCATGCAAATCCTACTGAATAGATTTTAATGAAACTTTACAATAATATAGCTATACATCAGAATAAGATATAGGCTATAATTGATATACATATTTTTATGTATATCTGTCTTTCTGTCTGAATGACTACGTCTGCGTAGAATAGGCTGAAGGCGTTCGCGGGAAGCAGCTAGTATTGTTATATATAGACTACATAGACTATGTACATGTAATTTGATTATTATTCATATATAATTCTGTAATTTTTCAAATAGTGCATATTGTTTCATTACTTACACTGGCAATGTCGTCATTTTAAAAATATTCTTCATCAATGCAATACTAAATTATGCCTGAGTTGAGGTTTGGATTTATAAAAATAAATTTATTATCATCAATATAAAAGCTAGTACAATGAACAGTTCCATGCAACATTTATGACTAGATTTTTGTATAGTATTCTGTATAGTATTCCGCACGATTGTGACAACATAACTGCAAGGTTCCACAAGGAACAATTAACACGTCAGGTTGGTCTAGTCGAAACAAGCGGTCGCGGAGGACTATAAGTTAATATATAAAAATTGATATTAAATTTGACGTTTTATTTTCAATGTAAAAAAATAAGTTCTCACGTCTCTTGTCACGGTCACGATACGCAACCAATATAATTCAGCTTTTCCGAGTTTATTACCTATCGGGACGACTGAAGGGGTCCGGTCCGACTCCACCGGTTCATACACGTTAATGTTAACCCGTAAAAGCAAAAGAAAACCTTTGAAAGTGTGCCCCCGTTAACCGATTCTCACATACAAAATGAAACGCAAAATTATAACACTTCCACCCCCATCTCAGTATTTGATGCCGTAGTAGTACGAGTACCCCGTACGGGCCTACTTTTTCATAAAGCACCAGAAGTTGCGTGTTTCCACCATTTTTGGCATGCTGATGGCAAAATCTCAAATAAAAAAAATCATAATTTTTTATAAAAGTACATATTTAAAAATGGGTGCTTGTTTCTACTGTTGTTGTTATGTTGTCTGTATTTATTGAATAATATTTTTATGATGTATATTCATATTTTGCATTTCATTTAATGATTTTTTGCCTCGATCATATACTTACCACTGGTTCTCCTCCAGCCTCGAGAGTAGTTGGGCACCTATATATACATCGCTGTAAAAACGTCACAGAAGTCATCCTCAGATATTTTTTGACTTACCATCAATTGGAGTAGTCTGCTGGCTGGAATTGATCCTCGGTCTTTCCTCGCCGGCCGCAATATGTTTGGCGGTGCGCCTTGCCACTGGTCGCAGTTCTTTGTCCACGTCACTCGCATCCTCCTCCTCATAAGTGTACTCGATATCTGAAACACAGTTTTGCATTAATCATTTATAAACTAAAAGCCCAGTAATTTTAGGCATTTTAAACCACAATCTAGGGCCTAGTTAGCTGAATTTTTGCCGGCTAAAAAGTTTTATAGGTCAAAAAGTCACGAAAATCAGTTTGACGATCATAGGTCGCAAATATCTCGCGACCTATGCTCGGAAGTCAATAGAGTTCATTATAAAAATTGTTTGTCGTGAAATTATCTACAAAAAATGCCTGTTGCATGTTTCTGTAAAATTAACCGTTTTGAGCGCTGAGTAAGCGACTATAGTATGACGATGCACTTCTTTCCGCACCACCTTCAAGATAGAATGTAAGGAGTGTTTTTTTACATGGTTTCCCCGTAGGCATAATCCATGATATAAGTGTTTTTTTTTATTTAGCAGTGAATATTTTTTTTAAATTTTAAATGTACACGCTCCAAAAACTTCTTCCATATTTATCACCGCGCGCCTGTGTGACGCAACGGATCTTGATGCGGTTTTTTTTACTAGATAGAGTGATTCAAGAGGATGGTTCATATGTATAATACATTGCACCCATGCGCGGCCGGGTCGGGTCGCTAGTATGATATAATAAATAATGTCAATGTCGCCTTAATAAAGGTGTATACAAAACATTCAGCTCACTAGGAATTTTTCCGCAGATAAACCTAACATGACTTGGCTTGAAATATTATATATAATTAATATAAAACTTTTTATATTTTTTATTTATTTAATTATTTAAGTTAATAAATAAATAAATAACAATTCTTTAACATCAGGTTATCCTTCTTAACTAGTAGCAAATACAATACAACAACTGAAAATCTTGCTTATTCAATACATAATGGACCATTAACACATTTTAATACTTATCTTGCATCATACAAATTAGAGTAAACTTAAAGCAATTATAAAAAAAACATTTCTTAAAAAACTTCTTATTGACATATGTATCGTACGAGCAAAATCGGTCTTGAATACTGGGATTCGCCGTGAGCTAAGTATAATATTTTTGAAAAAAACACACAAAGGGTTCACAACAGAAACCTCAATAATAGCGTAGATATATCTAAGCGACGCTTTCGATAATAAGCATTCATTTAAACTATACCCAACTTCTAAGAAATTAACTTAATATTATCAAGTAAGTATTTCAATTAACTTAAATTAATTAACATAACCTGTCATATACTGGACTTTTAATTTATTCTGGGCACTGCTGCCGGCATTGCGATTAAATGACATGCTTCTGTTTATGAGTAAAAGTATAGACAAGCAAAAGCATTTTTAATTTAAGTTATAAAAACTTTTCGATTTTACGTTATACCTAAAGCAAAAATTTTGTTTAATTTTCACCATAACAAGAATAACTCTTTTATTACCCCAAAAAGTCGGATGTCGATAACGTGAAAATCGACATCCGCACTCAGGAATGCCCTGTGCCGTTCGCTGTCAATGCCAACTCAGAACCCGTGTACGATGGACATGGTAATGGTGGAGCTAGACCCTATCCCGGAAAACAACCTGCAGAAAAAAAACCTTAGCGGATTCATTGTAGTGGCCCCCCTCCCCCCCTCCCACGCAAATCAGGCGTTGTTGCGCAGTGTCACAACTGCCAACATTATAGTCACACGATCCGTAGCTGCTTCGCTCACGCTAGGTGTGTCAAATGCACCGGTGACCACGGCACCAAAGATTGCAGAAGGCCAAAAGATCGCACCGCCATTAATAATACTAATAACGTTTCACTAGCCCAACTCGTAGATGACTCCAAAAAAGCCGAATGCCTTACAACTTAGAGCAACAATGTACGTGTTCGCGCGAACACATCGATACAGGCCACCTAACGGAGGCGAACGGCTTAATCGAACTTAGGGCTGCGCTACCACCGGTAGGCGAATCTTTAACCTCTGTGTTCCTCGAAGATATATTCGCCCCAGGCCCATATAGAATTTATAGTAAAGTCTTAAAATTGTCCCTGGGTCGCGTATCTGCACACTGGCGACCATTTTCAACACACTTTTCTCCAGCTGCTCGACTGAGGATGACTGGTCACTGTTCTGGTCACTGGTCACTGATGAGGTCACTGTCATCGGCAATCGCAAGCCGAAGAAACCCGCTAATAACCCCTCTAGTTATCGACCTATCAACCTCCTCAATTGCTTGGGGAAGTTCTACGAGCGGCTCATATTAAATAGACTCAAAGAATACTTATTTTCAAACGCCCCTATGCCAGATGAAAGCTTTCGAGCTAGACACTCCTGTCCCGACCAATTATACCATCGGACGGAGCACATTCTGAAAGGCCTTTACACCCCAAACCGTGGCTCTATTCTTCGATGTCGCAAAAGCTTTCGACAAGGTCTGGCACAACGGGCACATCACATCTGGGCCTTTCTGTTGAATTGCTCCTTTCGATACCGATTGGAAAGCACACTCTACGAATCACCCTCTCGTGGTGGGCGTTCCTCAAGGCTCCTGCCTTTTCCCCTTCGTTTTATGCTCTAAACGAGTGAAAGACCAAAAGACCCGTAGGTCAATATCGCACTTTTCGCGGATGACACGGCCCTCTTTTACACAGATAACCTTAATGAGGAGGGCCTCAAACCTAGATAAAGCTTTAATAGTCTAAGGACTAAAAGCGTAACATCAGTACATAGTACAAAAAATATCTTTTATTAGATAGTTTAAACTTAGGCTGATTTTATTTTTTCGGACATTAAGTTTGTAGCGCAAAAGCGGATTTACTGAACCCAAATTGTTTTGTAATTTGTATGACTTTATAAATAAACAGATATTTTCAAAGTCATACAAAGTCATTACAAGTCGGAATTTAAATGATATAAAGCTATTTTTCAGTGTGATTAATGTCTTATCTTATCTGTGCTATAATAAAATGTGGCACGCAAATGCTAATTGTTGCACGATAACTTAACTTTTTTACAAACTTTAAATTGTTAGGACCATCATGAGCGCCCAAAGTGTTAAAAATGTTTTTCTAGTGTTTAAAAGATTTACTTTATTTGTATCACTTTTTACACTTATCTTAGTTCCATTGTAAAAAAAAGCTTAAGTTAAAAAAAATCTCTACACTTTTCCCCCTTAAGCGAAGTATTGTTTAATGAATTTTTAATTCATAAAAGAACAGAATCATTTAGTAGCGACTTTTATGACTTAAGAGTGACTTTTATTACGCTGCAGTACTTCAACGTCAGTATAAGTTCTTACGTCTTTACCGCTAAAGAGGTAGTTAAAGCATTTCACAAAGCTTATTAAATTTCAGTGTAGCTTGCCGCCTTATGTAATAATTACAAATGTAGGCCAGTTCTTTCCACACATAAAAATCCGAAAAATTGCAACGTCTTACATAAGAGAAAGTATTTATATTAGTTTGGCGCCAATTACTTTCATTTAATAACGAAAGTGTATGTGTTTTGATAAACAATTTGCAATCGATAACGGTTTAATTAATTCCAAGTGAATTATATATAAACTAGCGACCCGCTCCGGCTTCGCACGGGTGTCATTTTTAATGTATCTTTTTACCATGGTGTATCAAACAAAGATTATTTATTCATTTATACATTTGATCTATTTTTTCTCTGTCTACTATAATATTGCAGGTATACCACATATAAACCTTCCTCTTGAATCACTCTATTTCTTAAAACTGCATTAAAATCCATTTCGTAGTTTAAAAGATTGGTGACAAAGCGTACAAACAGCGGAGGAGACTGTGTTTTATACTATGTAAATCTGTCAAAATGTAGTTGGTTGCGATAGTAATACCGTGAAGTTAGTCGAAGTTGGTCGCTTCGCAACCTTGAAACTTTATTGACATCATAAAAATTTACTTTCATAACTGTTCCCAAACCCGCTAAAAGATGTTTAACTTCAAAAGCGTTCCTTAATAAACATTTCTAATAGTTACTACAAATGTTCTCATGGTTAGCCCATGGAAATCCATGAACATGGAATTGTCAAGTAAATGATTGAATGCATCTCTCGTTTCAAAGATTAGTGCATTTCATTGACTCTGATTTCAGATTCGCCGTTGTTATTTTCATAAAAGCATTTCTCTAATCTCTTTTGCAATCGAATTATTTGTATCGAATTTTTTCAGCATGCAAAATTCATTTCGATCTAAATTCTCTTCATTAAATATGAATCTCATTCAAACTAGCTCGAGTCATGCCTCTTTGTTAATATGAACTCATGCACTGTTCCAAAAGTGTTGACTTCCTGAATTTATGTCATTTTAGAAATATATAGATTAAAATTTTTTAAAAAACTTTACTTGATTAGTAGGTACCTAAGATAAGATATCGGGATAATAGCTGCTTGAATCTGGTATTTTTATTGTTTGTTAAAACTTAGAAGTCACTTTTATATTTTCACTCATTGACTTTTCTAAATAATTTAAAGCAAGGAGGACCATTGAATGCCATGACCATGCTTTTTATTATTTTATTCAAGACAAGCTTCTTCCATTGCGTTTGTTAGAATAAACAATTCTATAGATGAATTCCGCATATAAACTTTAGAACTCTTTCTTATATTATTTTCTCTTCTTCTTGAACTTTCCGTTTCAAAGGATTCAGTTTAATTGGATGTCAATTTTTCCCAACGAAATGTCGTGTCGTGTTAATATTTTTAATAGAAAATTTTCTCAACATTTCCATGAACAATTCGCATAAATATTTACATCAGCTTATAATTTGCTTTTGCGAAGAAAAAATAACAGGCTAGTTTGGATTAAGAGCATGAAGCCTATTAAGAATCCCTACAAAGTGAATGTAATAACAACAGATTATTGCAAATAGCTGAATGCCAGTACGATATTCTATAAAAAAAATCAGTCCCTATTTTCAACAAATACCATATTACAATATTATTTGATTTTTGATAAGAATAAAATATATTTTAGTAAAAATAATTGCGTAATCTTCTTCCAAGATTATATACTCGAAAGGAAATAATTGCACGCTATATTCATCAGTTTGTATAAG